ATACTGGTGCTGGAGAAATACGAGTAGCAGTTAACATGGATTTTAGGCACCATGTGACAGTCTCTGCTATAAATGCTCTCTATGTAAGTACTGTAGTTATTCCCAACACATATGTGTCTATTTCTTTATCACCCCACCTCTCCTCATTTGCCAGTCACCAATGCTCCCTGAACACCTGCCATTGTTGGTCATCTTCCCATTGCTCCTTCTTCCCTTGCTATTACTTTCTTCTGGGCTAAACATCTCTTGCAGCAAAAAAAAAAATATGCAAAATACTTTGAATTTTGGTGAGGCAGGGAAAATGCACATGAAAATAAATTTTAAAAAAGTTTCAGAGCCATTAATTTCATCACAGCACAATGAAGCTCATGGGATTCTCTCAGCTGGGTTTATTTAGGAATAGAATGAGGAAACACTACCAAATCCTACTTTAAGTCTGTCAGACACTGTTTATGATAATGACAATGAAAGCAGATTTAGGAGCTAGCAAGATTAGCAAGCGATCACAGGCAAAAACCCTCATACAATTCTGGAGAAACATGGAAAGATTTAAAGAATTAACTACCCAAAAAAGGATTAAAGAAAAGAAGAAAATTTTGACCTCACATTCACTGGTCACTATGACTGAAATTCTACATCCACGACTGTTCCAAGTTATTGTTATATCTCTTGATAGGTCTGTCTCTTCTTCCTATTTGGAAATAACTAGAAGTCAGGAACTATCAATTTCTCCTTCCTGACTCCAGCATCCAGCATAGCACCTTGGTGGAGGTAGCAATGAAGCTCACTAGCTCTACATGAGAGCTCTCTGGAGTTGCCTTTGCTTAAAGTCCTGGCTCTGCCATTTACTAGTAGAATCATGGTGACTGAGTTACTTGGTGCTGCCAAGCCTCAGTTTCATTACTGGTAAAATGGATGTGTAGCATCTACTCCTCCACTGTGGCACATAAAAGCTGTAACAATAGGCAAAAGATATAGTTCAGTGGGTTGCACATAGCATCCTACAGTAGCAAGTATTATACCATCTCAGTAAATTAATGTTCAGATGGCTGGTGTGTTGGGCTGTAATTGCCAGAGAGTGCAAGTAGGGGAAAAGCCAAGGCTGCCCTTGAGAAGCTCCCATCCTCAACCGGCACCCAATGCTGATGACTGGTGCCAGCCCCAGGGCGCAGATGGGCCCTGCCAGTCCCCTGGCTCTGGGCACTGCTGCTCCCAGTGATAGCTGAGGGGATTCGAGGCCCTTTCACAGTCACTGTCCTGCTGAAGCCTACCGGATTCTTTCCCCTTCCAGGTTCTTATTTCATCAAACCTAGTTCCACTTCTGTTCTGATTTAAATAGTAATACTTTCACAAATTAAACAGCACATGTACATCTCTGACTTACACATACTTTTTAAATGTGCATCTAAACTGTATGAATTTATTCACACAATCCTCTCATCTGGACAAATACAAATTAGGAAGGAAGAAAGGAGGGAGAAAGGGGAGGTGTGGAGGAAATCTTAGGTAGCTCTTTAAAACTAAAAATATTACAATGCTGGTAAAAAGATTTAGGGCAAGAGTAAAGAAAAGACTTTCAAGGTTAATTGCAAAAGCCATCATAAATTATAGATCTGCTAAGGGAACAGCTATACTAACCCTAAAATGGGAAGACAGCAGGAGGGAAAGTAAGCTTAACCACCTGGTCAGAAGATCTGACCACATTCTACGGTCGAGAGAGCTGAGGCCCTGACAAAGTAAATAATTTTGTTCATCACTGCTTCCATTCAAAGCATTGCTCACAGTCAACCAGCACCCAAGAGTAGGGTAGAAATGCAGAATCTCAGCCCCTATGCCAAACCTACTGAATTAGAATCCCTGTTTGATCAAATCCACAGCCGATTCATCTGCATATTAAATTCTGAGAAAAGTTAACATGTGCAGTTTGCTGCTAATAAATTCACAAAGTAGGTCATTTAAAATCAAAACTTTATTTTTCTGCAAGTTGTACAACTAATTATTGATTTGTTAGAAAAATTTAAATCTCTTGGCTCTAAAAAATTCACCTATGAATTTGAAGTCAGGTTGCTGCCTCCTTGAAGCCTTGAATGAACAAGACTGTGCTTATGCTGCTTATTGAGATGACTATCGGTGACACTGAAACGCAGAGCTTTCTGAAAGACGAAATGAAGGCTCACAGCGCTTCTAGGACAGTGCTTGCCATGGAGCAAGGCCAAGGTGAGCGTCAACTACCCAGCATGACTGACTGTGGGGGCGAGGCTCACAGGCACTGCCCGCTCATCCTCAACCACCTGCTGCAGTAAGGAGTGCCTGAGTATCTCTGGTTGCAGAGAGGGGCTGGGGAAACCCTCAACGGGGGGCGGAAATCAGCCAATACTTCTGAGTTATTAGAAAGCCTCTGGGGTCAGACGTGTGGCTAATGACTTGTAAGCAGACTGTGTAAATAAAATGCAGTGCTGAGTAATTTTCAGTAACAAGCATTACTCCATGTATGACTACGTACTGAATTCATAATTCTGGACTGGTTATAAACATTTAAAGAATGAATAAAGGTTGGATGGCTGACTATTCAGTTCAGGGCACCAAAAGAACAGTCAGTTCTTTAGGGCAGTCAGCAGGAGCACACACAGGGAGCACGAACACCGGGACGAAGGCCGCACAGAAGTGCGAGTGTGGGCAGTGAGAGCAGAGTGGGGTGACACTGGGGCCGCCGAGCACCACACAGGTCCCCCCGCGTGTCAAGCCCTGACCAGGGAGTTAGACACCTAACAGGCAATGCTTGTAACTCAGAAAGTGTGAAATGGAAACCCAGAATTAAAATCACGGAAGCTGAGTTTCCTACTTAGGAGACCTCAACAATGGCTTCTGAGGAGTTCAATAGACTAGCTACAAGGGTAAGGCCTCACTCCCTCCAGCAGGACGAGGGGCTGAAAATGCAGAGAGGAGTGATGAGACCCAGTGGAAGCAGAGGGGAAGGCCCTGACATGTAGTCAGGAGCCAAGGGACAGGACAGTCTCTGGAGTCTGTGACAAGCGGACGGATTCTCCCTGGAGCCTCTGGAAGGAACCAGCCCTGCTGACACTCATTTTCAGGCAGTCTGATTCGGGATTTCTGCCCTTTACAAGTATAAGATAATCCATCTATGCCATTTTAAGTCACTGCATCTGTGGGAATTTGTCATAGCCCCACAGGAAAGTAATACATATCTAGGAGTCTGGAAGTAAGGTGCTGCTTGTTACCAACACCTAAGAATGTGGACATGGCCTTGGAATTGGTCAGTGTGTAGAGAATTTTGAGCGCTGTAATATAAAAAGGCTAGCTGCCTAGAACGTAGTGTTGAAGGAATATGGATGCTAAAGACTCTGGTGCTCTAAGAGGGAAGTGAGGAGCATGAAAGAGAAAACCTATAGAGAATATCTAATTTATCACACCGCAGTGGATGGTAGAGATATGAATGTCAAGAGCCCTGTTCAGGAAAGCTTTGGAGGAAACCAGGAGCATGGTAATGGCAACTGGAGAGAAGGGGACCCTTGTTACATGATGCAGACTGTTAGAAGAGAAACTACTCGAGAATTTTCCAAAATGTTCAAAAGACATTAACCCAACACAAGCAGGATAACAAACAGAAAATTATACATAAGTCAAACTGGTGAAGACAAAAGTAAAAAATAAAAGCAGTGAAACAACGCGTTTAAAAAGCTGCAAAAGGGCTGGGGATTTAGCTCAGTGGTTCCGCCGCCTGCCTCACAAGCGCAAGGCCCCGAGTTCAATCCCCAGTATCAAAAAAAAAAAAAAAAAGCTGCAACCCCCCCCCCCAAAATTTGGCAATGCAGACACCTGTAGTAATGCAAAACATCCCTAAAAAATGAAGGCAAAACACAGGCATTTCCAGATAAAAAAGGTTGAGAAAATGCAGCTTGCACTACAACAAAAGTTCTTTAGACTAAAGGGACAAGACCACAGAGAAAAACCAAGATGCACAGCGAGGAGTCAGTATCAGCAAGGAAACATCAAGAGAAAAAGGAAGCAATACAGTTTTCATTTCTTCAAAAGAAAATTGAATATTGGAAGTAAATACTGCAATATATTATGGAATTATAAAATATGACAATACAATGGAGAGGCAAATAGAATTGTAGTAATATAAGGTTGTTAAATATTTCACAAAATTGTATAAGATTTTTTCATGGTGATGTGTGATTAATTATGCATATTATAATCTAGGGTCACCACTTAAAATTCATATAAAGTAAAACTAAACAGCTATGGAGGAAAGAAAATGGAAGGCAAAAATGAAAGCAATAAACCTCACTTTTAAAATAATAGAATAAAGAATAGGTGGTGAAATTAGGGGAGAAATAAAAAAGATGACAGCATTAAGACCAGTCATATAGGTAATTATATTAACTGGAAGTGAATTTAATACTCCAGTTAGAAGATAGAGACTTTAAATCTGGGTTAAAAAATAGACCCAAGTCTGTGCTTTTTATAAATGATCCATTTTTATCGGGACACTGAAAGTAAAATGATAAAAATGGTATTTACTACTTTGCAAACACTAATCATAAGCCAGTATGTCTATATTATTATGAGAAAAGATAAACTTCATGAGAAACATATCGCCAGTGATCAAGATGAGAATTTCACTTAACAAAGCTCAAGGTTGGTTCCCTGCTTCTACTAAGACTGCTAAATCCCTTTACTTCTGCATACCATTTCTGAAGTTTATGAGCCCCTGGAGTGGTTATAGGCCTCCATTTAAAAGCTTCTTTTTGGGTGGGGATTTAGCTCAGTGGTTCTGCTGCCTGCCTCGAAAGCACAAGGACCCGAGTTTGATCCCCGGTACCAAAAAAATAATAACAATAATAATAGAAATAAAAGGTTCTTTTCAAATTTATATTATTTTAAAACTCCATGGTTTTTGAGTATCCTATGCAGTCCTCCTAATCCTCAACGACCGTTTTTATGATACTTACTCAGTTCTTGGAAAGTCATCTTACCTGGAACGACACCTTCTGATTGATGTCTGACAGGCGGAACTGTTTCAGGAAGCGCTCGTCCTCACTCCAGAAGAGGCGGATGTCCGGGATGTCGTAGAGGATCATGGCCAGTCTTTCTAAGCCTAGGCCAAAAGCCCAGCCGATGCGATCTTGTGCTCCAGCTACAAACAGAAAACAAGACAACTGTGTAGGAAACTATAAAGACTACCCAGGCACTGACCCCTCCACGCTGCGCACCAGTAACCCTGAGAGCCGAGTTGCAAGGCTTGGGGGCAGCCACCCAGGTTCCCTTTCTCTGTGCCTCTACTTTCCTTTTTTCTGGAATCTTTTCTTGCTTTGATTAAATATTCACCCTACTTCGTACAGGTTACAGAAGAGAAAGGAAGGCAGGCTTCTGTGCTTGAGGGGCTCACTATGCAGGGACCTCTGTTCAAAACGTGCCACGGTGCCTGTTAACATGCAGAACGTGTGTCCTGTCTTTCGGAGCCTCACCTTCCCTGAAACACCGTCACGATTATCCTCGGTAGGAGCCACCCCAACGACACGGGCCGTGAAACGCATGCCCAGCCCCGGCTATTCCAGAGGAGAAGCGTCCTGCTCGGTTACGTCCATGCCACGAACTCTAAGGGTGTATTTCACATATATGAAGCCGAGGCGGGTCACACTGCTGGGAAAGCTGATGAAAGGGCCCCTGAGATGAATGTAATTCCCAATAAACACGAAAAGATGAGAAGGATCCGGAGATGGGCGGAGATAGTTGCTGAAATTCCAAACCGCCAGAGGACGAGCTGTGGAAATCCCACCCTTCCACCTGGAACGTATGAAAAGCACGGATTTCCGCGACACTCCACGTGGGTGGGCGGGAGCCCTGCTGCCTGCCGTGAAGCGGTGCACGGCCCTGTGGCCAGTGCAAGAGGGACCCCAGCAGCGGAGAGAACGGAACACGGGAACCTCACCCCTGTCATCACCGGGAACAAATCCTCCCAGCTGCCTGCTGGGCTGAGCTCAAGAAGAAATTTCAACGTGGCGAGGCCCTAAGCCAATCCGTACCCACCCTCCTGGTGCAAGGGAGCCGTGATAATGTGTTACTGGGGGTGGAGGTGACCGATGCAGGTAGGAAGTGTGGAGAAAGGCGACAGGAAATCCCACGCGGAGGCCTCTCTAAAGGCACAGGAGCAGGTGCAGCACAGGGAGGCTGAGGGGCGGCCCCGGAGCAGATGGGCGAGGCTGGGGCGGAGCGGAGAGGGGCTCTGCTGTGGACACCGCCACCGCCACTGTCCTGTACAACCGAAAGGACAAGGCTACGAAGGCAAAGAAATGTGAGCCTCGACAGAAGATCTGTTCGAGGGATGAAGAAATAAACAGTGTTCGAAGTGCCACCAAGACAAGAAAATGACAGTGAGAGGGCTGAGGGCTCGCTCCGTGGGCAGGCAGGGGCAGGCAGGAAAGCTGGTGCCCGGCTGAGCGCCTCCCAGTAGGCGAACAGCCAGACGGGTGCCGAGCGGCGGGGGCAGTGGACACGACTCCTGACCAGGTGGCCGCGGTCGGAGAGCAGCCGACCTGGGGGGGGGGGGTCAGAATATTTCATGGTGACGTACACAACCCTGAAAGCGCCCAGTGAGCAACTGGAGACGTGAAAACCAACAAAGCAATGATGTCACGTTTTAAGCCACTAAAAGATCTTTATTTGGGAGAAACAATGTTATGCCCAATCCTGGCAATGTGGTTAGGTCCAGTATTCTCATTTATTGCTGGTTACGCTTTATATTTTTATAACAGTTTGAAAAACAATGTGTCAATATATGCAAAGATTGATAAAAAAATACTCATGCTTTATTGTGTGATTTCAATGGGAAATTTATCCTAAGGAAATAATTAAACAAATGCAAAATGATAAATAAAGAAAAATATTTGGAGCAGTAGTACTTACAATAACAAAAACATTCTAACAACTTCAATATCCAAAATTAGAAAACTGCTTAGATATTCTAGTATATTTTAATGGCAGCACTAAAAATCATAATTATATAAATGTCTATTATACAGTAAACTGTAATACAAAAACACCTATGATAAAATTAATATGTCCTATGATGTTACTACTTAATATGGTATACATGAGAGTCACAGTGTAAAAACATTAAAAATAGAATGTGATACTTAAGGATTACAATGAGTGATAGTTCAAAAATAATTTCATTTTTAAACTGACAAAAACTATTTGTTTATATTGTACAGCATGACCTTTGATATGTGTATATGAATCACTGCCTCATACACCTAAACTTTTCGTGAAGAAAACACTGAATATCTGTTCTTTTAGCAATTTTTAAGTAAACAATTTATTGTTATTAATATACTCACCATAGTGTCCAGCAGCTCTCCAGAGTTTATCCATTTTGTTTAACTGAAATTTTGTATCCTTAACCAACAGCACTAAACATTTTTCAGTAGTATTTATAGTTTTTTCAAGTAAATAACAATGTAAATAAATAAAGGTAAGTAGGAGTGTAACTGTTGCTTTGTGTCTCAGGATTTTCCTTTATCATTTAATCTTATATATTTTATCATCCAGTGTCAGATAAAACCAACTATACAGGAACCAGTATCTGTAACTAAGCAGATTTAGCATGCTTGATTTTATTCAATGTTTACTTGGTTTTTATTTTGTTCTTTCATCTATCACCTCTCATTTATTTCCCCATTCCACAAAACACTTTCCAAGGAAAAAAATAAAAGTAAGACCCTTGGGGCCAGGGGTTTAGCTCCGTGGTTCTGCTGCCTGCCTCGCAAGTGCAAGGTCCCAAGTTCAATCCCTGGTCCAAAAAAAAAGTAAGAGAGGCCCTAAATGTAGGTAAGAAAAAAGAGCAATAATTTAATTTTTAAAATAGGCAAACAACAGTCACGTATAAGGAAAGAAAAATGGTCCTTAAGCACATGAAAAGTTTACTTAAGAAAAATGCAAGACAAAACTGAATCAGGTTACTGTCTTTTATTTACCCAGAAGGACAAAAATAAAAACATCTGATAACACAGTTGGCAGCAAAGCTGAGGGGAGACAAACACTTTCACACATTGCTGGCAGCATGCATGTAAGCTTTTAACCTTTTGACAAACTAAGGAATATGATATTGCAGTAGTTATCAAAATTACAAGTATAGACCATCCGCTTTAACTTTCAGGATGTGTGCTGCTCATGGAAAATTATAAATTTATAAGATTTTTATTGAAATATTCTTTATTATACACAGTACTGTTTGTTATTAGTATAAAAATTGCTAAATATTGTATACAAGTAACATATTTGTCCATAAAGAATTGGATAAATATGCTACACTAGGACCATACAATAGGATTTTATTACAACAGATTATAACAACCTCTGACTGATTCAAAAATTAAAAGTGGCAACTGTCTGGTGGGGGGGGCAGGGAAAATGAGGACAGGGTGGGGAGGCTTTATAACACGTGCCTTCAGATATAAAAGTGATGAGAAATGTTTCAGATACAAGTTGAATCTCCATTATCCTAAACGCTTTGGACCAAAAGTGTTTTGGATTGCAGTATTTTGGATTTCTGATTAGGGAGACTAAACCTGCAATAGAAAATTCCATGACTACACAAAATGCAATAGTTTCTGTTCTGTTTATTCATTATAGGGGTGGGATACTAGGGACTGAATCCAAGTCCTTGCACACGGTCCACGGTCTCCCACTGAGCTATGTATCATCAGTCTTTGTAAATTTTAACACAAGGTCTTGCTAAGTTGCCTGGACTGGCCTCAAACTTGTAATCTTCCTACCTCAGTCTTCCAAGAAAGCCATATAAGAACAACAAAGTATTCCCCTTTTGTCACACTGGTACCAAGCTCTTAGGAAATTTATGATTAGTACAAATAGATTCTCCCCCCCCATGCCGCCCCTAGCCTGTTCTGGCCTTGCTCTAAGAGATATTATAATTCCAAGGATGTCTTTGGGGGATTTCAAAAAAACTCTGCAAATTCCTTAATGCTTCTTATCTTGAGTCTTGGTGGGTTCAGATATTTGGACCAATAGAGTATCTGGGACTGACGTTATGTGACTTTGGAGGTCACATTAGAAAACTTCTTGCTTTTCTTGAAATCTTGTTCTTCTGATGTTTGATCTCAGGGTCTCCCTTCCAGACAGTTCCCTCTTGGAACTCCACTGCTGGGCTCTGAGAAGGCTCAGTAACAGGAGAGGTCTTGTGTAGTTGCTGCAATTGAATTCCGACTGCACCAAGCCCTCAGGGACCCCATCCCTGTCAGCAGGCATGTAAGGGAAAAAGACCCAGAAGATTCCAGCTCCAGCTCAGCATCACCCAGGCTGTTTAAATCTTCCTGGATGAGGCGCCCATCACTATGGGCAATACCAGATGCCTTCCACTGTGTCCTGTCTGCACTTAGGACCACAGAATAATAAATGACAGCTCTCCCATTAAGTTTGGAGTGGTTTGTTATCCAACAAGAGATCTTGCTAAGTCATGTGCATTTTGCTCTATTGCCAACAGGTCCCAGCATGGTAAAGCTAAAACTAACTAAACTGCTGCCTCATATTCTAATTTTCTGTATATAAGAGTGATGTACATAAAAACTAGGTAAAGTTTGAAATAGGAGAGATCAGGAGGTCTGGTTAAAATAAGGTTAAAAGCTTAAAATAAGATGAATCTACTCTATTGTAGTACCTCACATATGCCATAATATCCATTCCTCTCCCCAAAGCCCATGCCACCCAGTGTTACAACACTGCTCCTCCTAGAAATAAACCAAACCATCCTAATCCTAGGGTACCCAGAACCCAAGACATGGAAATACAGGTGCACTGAAGCATCAATATGCAAATACTCTTAAGAGTTTTGTTCATAAGAGCCTCAAAGCAGTGGGCCGGAGATTTAGCTCAGCAGCACCACGCCTACCTCCAAAGCTACAAGGTCCTGAGTTTGATCCCTAGAAGAGAAAAAACAAAAAAAAAACCCCAAAGAGCCTCAAAGCAGAAACAACTCTACTTCTATCAACTAGACGATGGGAAATACTGTGGTGTATCCATATTATGGAATATTACCTAGCAAAAAAATAAGTGACTCATATATATGATAACATAAATGATACCAAAAGCATTATGCTTAATGAAAGAAAAAATTCTAGT